GGGAGAGAGAGAAGGTTAGACGCGTGAGTGAGGATTTTGTGGTGGGGGTTGGGGGGTTGGGAGGTAGAGAGGTTGGGGAGGAAAGAGGGGAGGGTTAGGGAGGGGGTGGAGGATAGATAGTGGGGAGGGTTAGGGAGGGGGTGGAGGATAGATAGTGGGTAGGTAGGGGGGGTAGAAAGGTTGGGAGGGGGTGGTGGGGGGTAAAGGAGAGGAGGGGAGGGGAGAGGAGGGGAGAGGAGGGGAGGGGAGGGGAGGGGAGGGAAGGGGTGATGGGGTAGAGGACGGGAGGAATGGGGAGAGGGGAGAGGAAGAGATATGGGGAGGGGTTGAGGAGGGAGGACAAGTGGTATGGGGTAGAGAAGGGGAAAGGGATGGTTGACTATTATGGAGGGGAAGTGAAGGGTGGGAAAGGGAAGGAAAAACGAGGAGGGAGGATAGAGGAGGGAGGGAGGGCGAAGAATAAGGGTGGAAAGCGAGAAAGAGAGAAAGAGAGAAAGAGAGAGAGAGAGAGAGAGAGAGAGAGAGAGAGAGAGAGAGAGAGAGAGAGAGAGAGAGAGAGAGAGAGAGAGAGAGAGAGAGAGAGGACGTACCTCCTAAAAATAAACACAGGCGAAAGCCACATAAACATGGTAATACATATATAATGTAATTCAAAGTGTATAAGTTGATCCCCTTCCCCATCTTTTCTTCCTGAACTCTCTTTTTTTCTCTCTCTACCCCCCCCCCTCCTCGCCCCATAACCCTCCTCCCCTCTTCTCCTTCCCCCCCCCCCACCAACCTGTCCTTCTCCCTCCCCCATTTCCCTTTCCTTATGACACGGAATAAAGCGACTTACATTAATTATTACACATACGTATCGTTCTTTTGTTGTTGTTGTTGTTGTTTCATTTACAGATTAAATATTCGAAGAAGGGGAACAGCGTGGGGGAGAGAGAGAAAAAAAATAAGGAGGAAGAAGGAAGAAAAAAATGAGGGGCGAGGGGGGGAGGGGGAGGAGGAGGAGGAGGAGGAGGAGGAGGAGGAGGAAGGGGAGGAGGAGAGCATGAACAAGAAAATACAATCATAGAAGAAAACAAAGGAGATAAAACAAGAAGGGGAGGAAGAGAAGAAGGAGAAAAGGAAGCACACGTAACTGAGAAAGAGAAAGAGGAGATGCGTAGAAAAGGCGATGGCCAGGGGAGGAAGACGAAGACGAGAGAAATTAGAGGAAGGAGAGCGAGAAAGAGAGAGAGAAAGAGAGGAAGAGAGAGAAAGAGAGAGAAAGAGAGAGAGAAAGAGAGACAGAGTTAAAGAGAAAAAAAAGACAGAGAGAGAGAAAAAAAAGAAAAGAAAACAAAAACAAAACAAAAAAATGGGAGGGGGGGGGCGGGGGTTCCGGAGACAGTGGCCGGGCCTCAGCAAAGCCTTTGGAGGGGGCGGCGCTCCCCCATAAATCGGTGTGGGCAAATACAGAGAGAACACGCCAGCGAGCCATTAGGGGCGTGTCCAACCCCCCCTAGAGCCCTCCATCACTGTGGCCGGAGTGATGGTGAAGTGTGGTGAGCTGTGGTGAGGGGTGTCGGGGTGTGGTGAAGTGTGGTGAAGCGTAGTGAGGTGTGGCGAGTTGCCTTGAGGTGTGGTGAAGCGTGGCGGACAGCGGTAAAGAGTAGTGTATGCGTACTAGTGCATTTATTGATAGTGCGTGCAATGTGTGATGAAGAGTAGTGAAAGCAACGTAGGGCAGCGAATCTGGGATAGCAATGTGGTGAAGTATGGTGAACTCCAACTAAGAATAGTACCTGGAATGATGTATTGGTGATGGTGTAGTGAGTGCAAAGGAGCGTGGTGACATCCGACCCAAAATAATAAATGTCCCATATGCACAGTAGTGTCTTGAAAGCGAGTGTGATGAAGTGTAGTGAGATATGGTGCATAGCGGCGTACATGTGATACCACAGTAGTGTACTGATGGTAGTGAGTGTGATGAAGTGTAGCGAAGTGTGTTGAGACGTAGCTAGATATTACAAAGAGTACTTCACATATCGTAGAATAACGGTGAAACGGTGAAATGTCGTAAACTAGCAATGAATAACGGACACTGTTGTAGTTGAACGGGGGCGCAGTCACGTGCACTCGAGAGTAATGCAGTATAATGCTTACAATACGATTATTTAGTAGACTTGAGGTACAAAATGAAGTGGTGAGTGTGACATACTACAGTACAGCATTTGGTCGTTTTGCATAAAAGAAAAGAAAAGAAAAGAAAAGAAAAGAAAAGAAAAGAAAAGAAAAGAAAAGAAAAGAAAAAGATGTATATGTAAATATTGCTTTGAGAGAGAAAAAAAAAACTGGAAAAAACAGTAGATGGGATAAAAGCAATAAGTGGAGGGATGGGAAGAGAGAGCCGTGTTAAGGGAAATAAAAGTTTGGAGAGACTGCAAAGAAGGAAATAAATGCAGTGTGTGAAGTAGGCAAGAGAATGCAAATTCTGGGTGAATGCAAAGCGAAAAGAAATTGCAGA